CCATGTTTAAATTTTGTTGTGTAGGGATGAGAAGCAATGATGTGAAGACAAAAAAAGTATCAGGATATGATTTTTGAAAAGTGAAAGAAGATAAAATGAAGTCATATTTTTCTGCCAGCTCAATACATAATTGTTTTTTGGGCATGGATAGGTATGGTGCTATAAGATAAAGATTGGACAAAAATGGAAGGGATAACAAGTCTGTAAATAATGTTTGCATGACACTTCATATCCATAAGTAAAACTAATTAATTTGTCCTCTGATTTGGTGCCAGCTTATTTTTTGTTTTTCTCACTACCATCTAGAAGGTCCATCTGAATAAGTCACTGATCCGACCTGTGAAGATTACGGGGTAGAAAAGGTCTTTAGCAACACATGCTTGCCATAAAAGGCGACTAACAGGATCGGGTGGTTAGGCTCACTGACTTGGTTGATGCAATTGCGTGGATCAATGCTCATGCTGTCAATCACTAGATTGTCTGGTCCAGACTCAATTATTTGCAGACCGCCGTCATATAGCTGGAATATTGCTGAGTGCAGCGTTAAACAACAAACAAACAAGTCACAGATCCAAGTAACAGAAAAAGTTGCCCCTACTGCAGGGCTGCCAAGTGTAGTCACACCACCGGCACATCCCAACTTCCCCTGCTCCAAATCCAGTGTAGACTGCAAAATCTATGGTAAGGGGTTGAGTCACCTTTCTTGACAAACTTCAGAGTTCATATAAATAGAGAATGAGTGATTTCGATTTATTCAGCTCTTAGTGCAGGGATAGAAATGAAGTTACTTTCCTGTGTGGCCATAAAGCACTGATAAAGGTGTTTAGATGTGCCCTTTGTAATGTAACTGTGCCAAGCAGAGAGGAGGAGTGATTCAATATTCCAGCAATATCACTGCAGGGACACCTGAAATGGGCTTGACACCTTGTACCCATATAGGAAATTGAACCCTGGCTTCTGCGTGACGAGTGAACACTTTAACCACTAGGCTACCCCACTGCCCAATACCAACCAGAATATGTTTCAATGAAAAAAAGAAATAATCTGGGAGGTTATGTGAAGTACGCTTTGCTCTGGTTTCATATAATAAAATCGTCACAGGCTACTGCTATATTAAAAAATGTGAATTCTAATGATGCCCTTAAAGTACAAGTATCATGAAAAATAGTAACAGGCTTTTCCTACATCTTTATGTCGCCTGTACAGTGTAGAATATGACGGCTGAGAAAAACGGTGTGAAAGTGTTAAATGTATGTATTTTAAGGCCTGTATTTATAACGACCCAAAGAATCTTAAAGCGCTAACAAGGAGGCGGGGCTTAATTAGCACGTCCGACTAGGCCTGCAAGCTGATTGGGTACTACGACCAACGGGGTACAGAATATAGATGATGATTTCATAAGTTGCTAGGAGACCTGTGTTGTATATATATATATGTGGATTCCATGTATGTCAAGAGTATTGCTAGTGGGGGTATGTCAAGTAACCTTGATTTAACATCAGTTATATAATATTGACATCGTAATATTCCCCTCCCAATCCATGCCGTTATATTGATAAGCATCGATTGATCTTTGTAGCTAATTAGTGTTAATTAACCAGAACAGTATTTGTTTCATGTACAGTCTCTTATCTCTCAACAACTGGGGGCAGTTGGGTAGCCTAGTGGTTAAAGCGTTGGCTCGTCACGCCGAACACCCGGGTTCTATTCCAGACATGGGTACAATGTGTGAAGCCCATTTCTGGTGCCCGCCCGCTGTGATATTGCTGGAATATTGCTAAAAGTGGCATAAAACATACTCACTCACTCACTCACTCACTCACTCACTCACTGCCAGCAGTCAGTCCTAAGTGCAGTAAAACAGACACGGTTATAACGAACTGACGGATATTACAAACTCAATTTTTGGTCCCGGCCATTTGCTGTATAGATGTTGTATATAAACTTATAACGAACTACGGTTATAACAAACTAAAATCAGTGGTCCATTTGAGTTCGTTATAACCGTAGTTAACTGTATCATAACATACTCAGCCATGTGTATAGTGTAATGAAACACGCCAGTGATACAGATTCACAGAGTTCCTGCCATGTCCATTCATCTTTGTTGCTCTATTTCAAGACTGCAACAGGATATTGTGATTTGGAGAATCTGTGTTTTGCAATCGCTTGTGATCCATGCGTCCAAGATGGGGATCATCCCGGTTATCTCCGTCACTGTTGTCGGTCACAGGTTCAAGGAATCAAACATGTCGGGGTTCACTTGTACTTCTTCCTTAGACATCACCATTTCATCTTCCGAGAACTATTCACATTCCATGATAACTCGAGAACTATTGTCACTGTCAGAGTTGGACATATCTGCAAGTTATGATCAATTTAAGCTCATAATACCGCACAAAAGAACAAAGTAAGTGTGGTTGGTGCATAATGATTCAACAAAGAAAGTCTCGCAACAATATAAATGAAATTCCCGAAACGCAAACAAACGCAATTGAAGAAATAGCATTTTTCGCACGTCATATAGAGTCACGTCATAAGTCAATTTGTGATATATATAGCCTTGGCACATTTTCTTTATTGAAAGAAAGAGGAGTATTTTTTAATCCTTTTATCCCGCTCATATAAAGGAAAGTACAGCGTACAAATGATCATTGTAGAATTGTGGATAGAAGAATGCCTAAGTGTTAGAAATGGTGAAGAATGGGTTTGCTTTGCCAAGGATGTGTGCAGCCGACTATAACCGTGAATTGAGGATTGCTTGCTAGGGTGTGATTGGATGGTCGGACTTGTTGTGTGATCAAGCGTGTAATTTGGGAGGCCATATTCATCTCCTCTGCTGTATTTTCGTTTCGACCTTTGAAATTGTTAGACAGGACTAAAGTGCAAATGAACATTATTTACGTGTGGCTTGTGAAGTTTTGAATACAACATTTGCATTAACGATGTCACGATCTGTCTGATTCTGCAAAGTTGTATATACACATGAGACTTGCACTTTAAGACATGGAGAACTTATTTTAGCTGTGCAATGACAATAATATGAGAAATTTCAAACCCTGTAGTGCTGTGCCAGCTATAGGGATGCCAGGAATATACCTGTGTGGGAGATGAAACTAGGTGAGGTGAAATGGGGTTTAACGTCGCGTCCAAGATTATTGCACTTATATAGCGACGTGCATGCACGTGTGTGTGTGTGGCTGCTTGTACTAGTCCGGACTGATGCCGATTTATAGTGCTAGCTCACTGAGATACCATGCCGCAGTTTAACATGAATACCCCACTCAGACACAGTATACTGACTACGAGCCGACCAGTCCTTGTTTTAGCCCCTTAATGTCGAGCGCCAGACAGGGTAACAGCAAGTACCATCTTTTAACGTCTTTTGGGATGACGCGGCCGGGGATCGAACCCCGGACCTTCCGCTCTCCGGGCGGACGCTCTACCACAAGACCACAGAGGCGGCGAATGAAACTAGGGATATTGGCATGAAAAATCAACTCTGTAGCCACTAGGCTACCTCAGCACCGTGGACTCATTAGTAAATTAAGCAACAGCTCCATTTTTCTCCCTTTAAGCGTCAGGATTACTTCGTTATTCAGCTGACCCTTCGTATGAACTCAGTTAAGTCAGAGAAATTGTACACTGCAGACTGTTGAATGTTAGATATGACTGGGCTTTCTCTTTTTTTTTAAAACAAATTTTTGGCCCAACTTCAGGTTGGTAGTTCAACAAAAGTAAAATAAAAAAAAATCCAATTTCAAATATGGTGAGGAAAAAAAGTAGGGGTGAGCTAAGGGAATAGGGGAAAAAAACAAGTTTGAAGTTATCCCCCTTCTGTTATAGATATATATATGTCTGTTGTGATTAGTCATAATTTGATCTTTGAATTTTAAAACAAACAAATACTGCATTTCAAATACTTTCGGACTCTGTGGATTTGAAACTCTTGTAAGAAAAAAAATGCCTGGCCTACGACAACGAAACAAAATAAAATGGTGTTAAATATCTTTAGTATGTACACACATGATAGAAGACTCACCTTCGCTATACAGCTGAAGGTCGTATTGTAAAAACAGTGAAGCGACTGCCTGTGTGAGGTTGATTCATAATGTGTCACCTGCCTGTAGTGTGGTGGGGTGATAAATATGTCACCTGCTCAAGCTTGCAGGGCTAGCTCCCTCTCCAGTTTCCACAGTTACGTCTTTGTACTTGACATTTACTTTTTTTACCTGAAAGCTTTTTTTCCTTGTTTTGAGGAAATGTGATGTGAAAACTTGTTGTGGGACATGTGTGAGTGAGTGAATGGTGTTAAGCTCTGCAGTATGCAATATTCCAGGTATGTCATAGTGACTTGTAATACAAGACAATCAAGTACGGATCAGCAAACCAGTGACTGAAGGCATGCAACAATATATGTATCGGGCGCTTCACTCCACCCCTGTCCACTCCACTCCGCTCCGCTCCACTCCATTCCACTCCACTCCACTCCACCCCTGTCCACTCCACTCCACCCCACCCCACTCCACTCCACTCCACTCCACTCCACTCCACTCAAACCCACTTCACTCAACCCCACTCAAACCCACTTCACTTCATAAGCCTAACCATGCTTTTATGTGACCTTCGATTTAGCCATTCATTTCAGTTTAAATATTAATTCAAACTACTTTCACAAGATCAAAAACCGAAGAAATTCAATCCTGATTGGCATTACAAGACTTCCTTTAGGAGATAAAGTGTGAAAACACGAATCTTCATCTGTGCAAGTTTTCCATTATATCGAGTGAGATCCCAGTCAGAGAGGACGAGTCCGTCACAGTGCGACATTTGACAGTGTGGACTGTTTGGTCGGACGGGGAGTGTAAACACCATGCTATAGCACACACAGTCTCTTCATCGAATAGCCTTCTCCAGTGGCACAGGTGAACGCATGTGGCCATTAGAAGTGAAACCCTGTACTGCCTGAAGGTCGAGTCACGGCACAGGTATGTTGTTGTCTTATGTAAGGTGACATTTGACATGCTTCAGTGAATGCGTTAGCGTTGAGGATAACACTTATTTGGACTTACACAAAGCAAGACTTGGAGCAAGTTTTGTTTTCAAATCCTGTGCTCCACAGTTGTTGGTTCACTGTTAAGATGGTGGTTCTGTTGTGTAAGATTCCTGGATACTCTGGAGGGCCGTTGATCAGCAAGTGACTGTTGTGTTGGTTGTTGTGTTTCTGTGTATTTCCTTCAATTCTGTGAAAGTGGGAGAGTATTTTACATGGGAGTGGACAAGGATGACGACAGGACGCATGTGACCTTGGATCTACAGGTAGCAGACGCGAAGCTTGTGTCAAACTAAAAAGTCATTGTCTCGTGTGGAAGCCGATGTCTGCTGTAAGTAGAGCTATCATGTATCTCATAGCCTATATGTTACTGCTAGGTGTAAGGTCATGTATGATGTAACATGTGGCTGTTATTGTCAGTAGTATGTCGACAAGGTGTGCTGCTGTTACACTGTGGGAACTGCCATTGATTCAGGCCCAATAGGATCTTTCACGCCGACATTTCACACATTTTTTGTCTTTATTTTTTAGAAATTGTGTCCAGAAAAAGTTTGTTTTAAAGGTAAAGCTCATTCCATAACTCATTATGAATGAAAATGTGTTTGTTGCATATTGATGATAAATGGATTATATGTGTAATTATTTTCAGATTAAAGAAATAATTGAGTATAGAATGTATTTTCTACTCCATTTTTATACGATTGCATCCATTATTGACACTGACACTTATTCATCATGTTCTTTGCATTGGTAGTGGATAATCAATATATTATCCGTAATAATCAATCATTAGAACATCTCTAATTATAACACCCATTGATATACAGCTACAGTTGTCTCGTCTTGGTTTCCCTGTCTTTCTCTCACAGACCCCATAGTAGGGCTGGGACGAGTCCAAATTTACTACCCGGGTACCCACATCCCTATTACCCGACCCTACCCGGGTACCCGTTGTTGGTGTCAAGAGATAGGTATAAAATGTCCGATTGGGAATAGTTTGACAGTAGCCCTTGCCGAATGTTTTTTAGATACACGTATAAAACGATGTGGTCATGCATACACTGAAGTTGACTGAAGTTTTAGCTTTGTTCAAACATATTAAGTCAGAAGGAACCTGTTCATAGTCATAAAGAAATGCGAACAGTAGAGACTTAAGCTTGTCGTGTAACCATGTAGTTATAATTATAGTGATTTTTGTCATGAAACAATATATCACGTGACTAACAACGGGTCTGGGTAGTCCTGTGGGTACCCGGGTCCTACCCAGTCCCCACCCGACCCGAGCACCGAGTTACCCATCCCAGCCCTACCCCATAGCATATATTAAATAAGACATTCACCCCATTCCACTCACATCCCCTTCTCTGCCCTAGCAGCCAATACTTATCCCCACTTCTAGCTCTTGAAATAAGATACTTGAGGTTTCCTCAGCACTTGAGGGTTCATTTCTACAATTATGTTTATGTGACCATGCACATGACTTTCAGGGAGTATATGTTAGTCTAGGTGCCCCTATTGATAACAGAACAGCAGGGATAGAGACCAACACTTGTCCGTTAGGCCGCGATTAGTGAAAATCTAGGGGGACTAATTGTTTCATCCAAAAATGTAGTTATTTTATGTAACTGACCACTCCAAAACAAGCTGTCAACAAGTTGGATATGAACAATGGTGTCTACCCCACAGCAGTGGTAAATTATTTGTTCAAGTTTTTGTTTATAAAAGGATTTAGCTAGGGTTTCAAACTAAGTGCCAAATCGGGATAACAAATAATCCTTATTTTATCAACACAGAATGACATTTAGAAAGTGGTCTGATGTAACACATGTTATACTGTGGATAACACTTTCTGAGTAAAGTACAGATTCTCATACTTTTTTGGGTCATCGTATCCCAATTGCATGGATCAATGCTCATGTTGCCAATACAGTACTAGATTTTCTGGTCTAGATTGATTATTTACAGACCGCCATCATATATCTGGAATACTGCAGAGTGCGGTGTTAAACTACAAGCAAACAAACAAACAAACAAAAGAATGTGGGTTGGAACACTTGAATCAAACTGGCTGGGTCACTGCTAATTGACCTGAGTCTAGAGCCCATTTAGTAGCCTCATTATTGTAAGTAGAGCTGTGCAACTACACTGACCATTGGCAATGTCCCGAGGTTTCAATAGATCTTAATTAAGGCGATATATGTAATCCCATGTAACAAGGTCAGCAGGTGGACAGGGTGTGATATAATCTGATTATCAACCTCAGCAGGGGATACAGCTTCATTTGATTGGTGCTTGTTCCCTTTCCTCTTACAGATACATGTGTGAAAACCCATAGCTGATCCAGAAGGAGGGGATTAATACATTTAGTATGAGTAAAAAACAAGCCGTGTTGACTAGGGCTGGGATGGTACTCAGGTACTCAGGTTGGGTGGGTCCTGAGTAGGACCCAGTACCCACTATATTACCCGGACCTGTCGTTAGTCATGTGATCTATTGTTTAATGACCAAAAGACACTATAGCTTAGTTGTTACACTACAAGTTGCTTTTGTTCGCATTTCTTTCTGACGATGAACACATTCCTTTTGACTTTGAGAAGAGATAAAGCTTCAGTCAACTTCAGTGTACACATGATCTGACGATCTGATACATGTATCTAAAAAGTTTTTTGCCAGGGATGCGGTAAAACAATTCCCCATCAAACATTTTGTTCCCAGCTCTTGAGACCTATAGTGGGTACCCGGGTAGGGTTGGGTATTTGGTGGTCGGGTACCCGGGTAGTAAATTTGGTCTCGTCCCAGCCCTACAAGGTCCTTGGGTGGATTGTAAAAAGTCTAGAAAATAAATTAAAAAAATTAATCCAAATCATGTCTATATTGCCTCAGCTCCATAAATTAAAGTTTGTTCTGCAATCCATTTGGATTTTATTTTTTTATTTCTTAGATAAATATTTTAAAATATGATAACTTTATTTCTGGTACTAAATGTTAGTCCACAAGAACCCCAGCTTGCCAGAATGGCTAGCTAATGATGAAATATCTGATCTCGTCTAACGTCTGTAGCCATCTTGGCCATATGAACACCTTAGATATTCTCAATGGTTCTGTTTGTCTAGGCCAGGTTATTTATAGTTGTTTCACAAAATGATTGGCCTGAAATCAGTGTAGGAGGTTGAAAAAACAATTTTAACTTGTCTTTATTCTTAATCATTAACTGGTGTGTCCGTTAGTGTTTTGAGTATCAACTCTATAAAGTAGTTTCTGGTGGGGTCAGTTTGTAAATGGACGTGGTTCGTCCTCTTAACAACTATAAATTATATCAGTTACGTGTTCCTGGAATGACACATTATTATGAATCAGAATCGGACTTTGTCAAAGGTAATTAAGTTTTCTTTTCTTTTCATTTTTTCATGTTTGTAGATTTTGTAAACCAACTAATAGGAATTAAGAGGCCTTATATGATGAATACCAGCCACCATTATCAGTTTGTTTAGGAAATTGGACGGGGACTTCTCAGAATGTTCTATAGTTTAAGGTTGCGAACGAATGAAGCGTGTTGATAAGTGAAACAATAGAGGATTATAGGGACCGTCTCACAGACAAGTGGGCTAAGTTAACGATGATGAACCAAGTTCATACGAGTTGTAAATGAACTGACCAGTGAACTAAGTTCATACGAGTTGTAAATGAACTGACCAGTGAACTAAGTTCATATGAGTCGTAAGTGAACTGACCAGTGAACTAAGTTCATACAAGTTGTAAATGAACTGACTTGTAAATGAACTGACCAGTGAACTAAGTTCATACGAGTTGTAAATGAACTGACCAGTGAACTAAGTTCATATGAGTTGTAAATGAACTGACTTGTAAATGAACTGACCAGTGAACTAAGATCATACGAGTCGTAAGTGAACTGACCATTGAACTAAGTTCATACGAGTTGTAAATGAACTGACCAGTGAACTAAGTTCATACGAGTTGTAAATGATCTGACCAGTGAACTAAGTTCATACAAGTTGTAAATGAACTGACTTGTAAATGAACTGACCAGTGAACTAAGATCATACGAGTTGTAAACGAACTGACCAGTGAACTAAGTTCAATTTCATTAATGATATTCACTTAGTTTCATAAATGGTATTCTCTCAGTTGTGGTATATATAAGTTTGACATTAATAACTAATGTTCAGGACCCGTGAAGTTCTGGGATTAAATAGGTCTTCAGCAACCCATGCTTGCCTTATAAGGTGACTAGCGGGTTTGGGTGGTCAGGCTCCTTGACTTGGTTGATGCATGTCCTCTTATCCCAATTGTGTATCCCAATCGATGCTCATGCTGTCAATCGCTGGATTGTCTGGTCCAGACTATTATTTACAGGCCTCCGTCATATAGCTGGAATATTGCTGAGGGAGGTGTTATTAAACAAGCAAACAAACAAACTGAAACTAATGATCATCCAGAATAATACTTGTTGGTTTCATCAAAGTTGTCATTATAAGCATCTAAGATCTGCATCACTTCAAGCTTTACTCCCACATCAAGCTGATATAACTGCAATGCTTCTCAAAGTGGTGGAAAATCAAACTCACTCACTCAGATGAAACTTGCCTTAAAAATGCAGGTATTTGCCTTGTTCAGGGTGTAGACTTCCCCTGCTGGGGATGACCAGGGAGTACATGGAGCCAGCCTCTGTGGTTATAACCCCTCGTTATACCCTTCTAGTCAGATATTGCTTAATGAAATTGCTAATGTGTTAACAAATGTTACACAATCTGGCATGGGGATCATGTGGAGTAATTTGGTTAATGACCTTAGTTTAGTTATCTAATAAGTGTTTTAGGGGTAGTGATCTACATGATCTACCAGTGACTACAGCTACTCAAAACAGTGAGCGTCTGTTGGTCAACTGGTGGCTGGATATTATGCAGCTTTATTCAGGGTAGGATACAAGTGTAGGTGATATTATACAGCTTTATTCAGGGTAGGATACGAGTGTATCTGATATTATACAGCTTTATTCAGGGTAGGATACATGTGTGTATCTGATATTATACAGCTTTATTCAGGGTAGGATACGAGTGTATATATTATACAGCTTTATTCAGGGTAGGATACGAGTGTGTATCTGATATTATACAGCTTTATTCAAGGTAGGATACATGTGTGTATCTGATATTATACAGCTTTATTCAGGGTAGGATACATGTGTGTATCTGATATTATACAGCTTTATTCAGGGTAGGATATGAGTGTATATAGTATACAGCTTTATTCAAGGTAGGATACATGTGTGTATCTGATATTATACAGCTTTATTCAAGGTAGGATACATGT